TTGTTTGCCAAGGCTTTGGAAAATGGAGCTCCGTTTGGAGACTCTCCGATCAAAGAAGCTTGTTAAACCAGAAAGGAAGATCAGACAAGTATCCCAGTGTCCTGGAATAGACCTCATCTTAACTGCATCTTTAGTACGTGTTTTCCCTCTGGTGGGTTTCCAAGGCATTTAATGGACTAGGAACAAAACAAGACTTTTTAGAAATGGAGACAAACACACTTTACAAAGATCCCGAGATTAAAGTTCTGCCTTTTTTCCTATTCAGCCACAGCCTAAATCCTACCCTGGGGGCGCTCACAGAAGTTCCAGAATGGAACCAGTTCTGAGGCCAGCAGAGCTGGTACGGGAAGGAAAAGATTCAAGAGCACTGTCAGCTGAGTCCCCTGGTGCTATAAGTCTGCAAACGAAAACTCACAGAGATAATGAAGGAAAGGCATCGGATTTCTGTCACAATTGTGAAGTATACTCTCTCTTCCCCTTATAATAAAATTTTAATCTGGTATTTATTGCACACTCACTGTACATCACCCATTTTCACGGATGCTTTTATCAATCTTCCTAACAAACTCATTGTACAAATAAAGAAACTAAGGGTCGGAGAGCACTTTCATTTCCTAGCCTTTATTTATTTATTTTTTCATTTCCCAGCCTTTAAATGGTCGAGCCCCTGGTCACACAGGAAGAACTGAGGACAGGCAGAAGTCTTGATCGCTTTCCTGAACTGTTAAAAGACACAAAAGGGCGGATGGTCTCCACAACGTATTTTGGCAAGTTAATACGTACAGTAACATACGTATAGACTACAGACGGCAGTGGGAGTTGTAAACGATCACAGATTCATAGAGAGATTAGTTGGGTTCAAGCCCGGTTCCATTACCACCAGGTGTGTGACCTCGGACAAATTCCTTTACCTCTCTGGTACTACTTACCTCTTGGGGTCTTTGGGAGAATTGCATGAGTGAGGATGTTTAAAGCACTTTGAACGGCGGATGGCATAGAACGGGCATTAGTCCATGTCCGGCACCTGCCCTGGTCTGTATGGCGTAGCGAGGGCCCCGGTATTAAGTGCTAATTGGGTGTCAAGCGCTGGGCTGAGTGGCACATAGAAAGCCCGCCTCCTGAGGATGGTCTCATGGAATCCTCACATCATCCTGCAAGGAAACCGTTCTTCCTTTTCTGCAGCAGAGCAATCTAATGATCCCAAACAACCCCAATATCACACCTCCACCTAAGTGGCAGGGATGGATGCCAAATCCTGCCTCGTCTGGCTTTCAAAGCCTGGGCTCAGTAACAAGCAGAGAAACGGATGCTGTTGGCATGCTGTTCTTCCTGCTCACAGGTACAGGACAAGTGCACATGCACACACGTGCAGCATTCAAGTGACAGACCACCCCAGTGCCTGTGTCCTCTGTAGGGTGAACTGCAATCATTTCTGGTCTGAAAGGCACTTTCCCAGAATAGGGTTGACAGTGGTTTTGGAAATGACTCACACTAACTGAATTCTTGACACGGCAAGATGCTGGAGACATCGGATCTTTCTTTTTTCCAGTTGCATGAAAACAAGAGGCTTTGCCAAACCAAAGCAGATCAAGCCACTGGGAAAAGCAAGTCTTTGTGTCAGGAGCTCTCTCAGCAACAAGCAAAAAATAACCTTAAACTTTTAGTTTTCAGAAGTCAGCATCTGGGTCAGGGGTAACTAGCAGAAGGGGGTATGGGGGGCGGTTTGCACCTGTCAGCAGTACAGTAATGATCCTTGCGGAGAGGCTCCTTGAAGGCAAAATAGAAAATATTTGCCAAAAAGAAGCAATGACAAGATTGCTCATCACACAGCTCCTCACCACCACCTGCCACCCTGCACACACCCTTCTCTCTTCTTACAATTAAAAGGCCTCAAATTTTCCATCACGTGGAAAATTATTTTCTCTCCCCCTTTCCCCTCTCCCCCTCCCTCCCATCCTCTCTCTTGGTCTTTCTCTCCCAGGAAGAAATTCTCGAACGTCAGACCCTCGAGATCACCCAATACAGATCATCAACTTTAAAGTCAGGCAAACCTGGCTTTGAATGCTGATTACAGCACCTTATGCAAGTTGCTTAAACTCTCTGCGCCTCAGTTATCTCATCTGTAAAATGGGCTTTAAAATAATACCTACCGGATAGGTATGATAAAGCTGATGTCCACAGAGCACTGAGAAACCATCCTCTTATTGTTAATTTATCTTCTCAAACTGAAGCTCCAGAAACGAGAAGTTGATTGGACGGTGTCCCACCAAGAGCTTTCAAATGTTCTGGAAACAGGCAAAAAAGCTCTGCATCCGACCAGCCTCCAGTCCACATCCCTGAGGATCCCTCTTTCTTTCCAAAGAGCCTCTCTCAGTGCTGAAGGATAGGATCCTTGCCCATACTATGGCCTGTTCTTGTCAACATGGTACCATTTCACCCCAAATGCTCTTCTCTCTCTTTTCTTAAAGGACACACACATACACACACCAACAGGCATATATCCAAAGGCTTTTTTTTTTTTTTTTACAGTAGCCTCCATGCCCAGCGTGGAGCCCATTGCAGGTTGAACTCCTGACCCTGAGATCAAGACCTGAGCTGAGATTAAGAGTCAGACACTTAACCAACTGAGTCACCCAGGCACCCCCAAGGGCGTTTGTTCCCAAATCATCCACAGTGGTAACGATGATCATTCTGTAGCAGAAAGATCCCCGGACTGGGAGTGAGGAGGTCAGGGTCCTAACCCTAGCTCTGCCACTAAAGGAACCACATGTTCCTGGGGCTGTCACTCTGCCTCTCTGTGCCTCAGTGTCTTCGTCTGCTATGTAAGCAGGCTTGCCGTAATGGCAAGAAGTCTCCCGGTGCACGGTTTTTGTTTTGTTTTGTTTTTTTTTAAAGATTTTATTTATTTATTTGAGAGAGAAAGAGAGAGCACATGAGAGGGGGGAGGGTCAGAGGGAGAAGCAGACTCCCCGCTGAGCAGGGAGCCTGATGCGGGACTCGATCCCAGGACTCCAGGATCATGACCTGAGCCAAAGGCAGTCGCTCAACCAACTGAGCCACCCAGGCACCCCTGGTGCACGGTTTTTATAGTGAAGATCTTCAGTCAGATGACATATTACAGTTTCTCAAGTACTTCCACATACCATATTTTGTGTTTTTAATCCTCCTTAAAACTCAACAATGTATGTAGGGTACTCGGCAGATAACAAATCTAAGGTACCTAGTGGTCAGGTAATTATGGGCAAATCATGACAGAGCAAAATGCCAAAATGAATTATCTCAATGTCTAGCCTCTTCTGACTCACGCTGCCCTCCTGGGGGTAGACATCCATCCCCAGTGAAAGGTCAAAGAGAACTGACAGGGGGTAAATGTTGAAGAGGCTTTATGCCCTTGGGGTCAGGGCTTCAAGGGTCCAGGCTGTTCCCTAAGTCCCTTTGATGGCCTTTTAAACATTTTTGGAGCCCAAGGCAGCGCTCCACTTAGCTCCAAACTCCAAGTTAGTCTGTTGCTTGGGCTTCTAAGATGGAAAGCAGAGCCCACGGCAGCAGCTAAAACACTGCCAGATCGCTGGCTAGTCAGAGCAAAGCTGACCTGAACCCTGGTTCTCTGCCTACACTCCAGAGCCTCGACTGCCCCGCTTCTGGGTCATGGTCAGGGGAAGGTGCTCCTCCCCACCACCCTCCGTCCTCACTCAAGGCGATAAAGCCCACCCTCTGTTTAAGAAGTGAGATGGCCATAGAGATGGGTTCATAGCAATAGCTAATCATGCTGGGATAACCAAGCGCTGAGCTCCACCGCCCCCTACTCACCAGAACAGACTGAGGGTCCTGCTGTCTGTGGACACTGTTACGCACTGACTTGTATCCCCCCAAATTCTTACGTTGAGGTCTTAACCTCCAGTACCTCAGAATGTGACTGTATGTAGAGATCAAGTCTCTACAGAGGTTAATTATGTTAAAATGGGGTCTTCTCAGTGGGCCCCAATCCAATATGACTTCTAAGGAGCAGAAATCAAGACACAGACACACACAGAGGGAAGAGGGAAGGTGGCCATCTCCATAAGTCAAGGAAAGAGGCCTCAGGGAAAACCAACCCTGTCTATACCTTCATCTTGGACTTCTAGCCTCCAGAATCCCGAGCAAATACATTTCTGTTAAACCACCCAATCTGTGGCAAGTTGTTATGGTAGCTTTAGCAAACTAATACGGGAACCTGCTCCAGAACCATGCCCCCCACCACGTGCAGGACCTCCCACTCCCCCTGCCCAGGACTGCTTCTGTATTTTCCAAACCTCCCTCCACCGGATTCATCAAGTCCTTGGGATGCAAAAAACTGGCTCCCCAAGCCCAGTCTCCCATTTCAGGGGCTTTGAGGAGTGCTAGTCTCTGCCTCAAAGTGGATGGAGGGAGGGTCAACTGCCCTTGGGGCTCCCGAGGGAAAAAGGGGAGAATAGGAAATACAGAGAAAACAACCTGATTGGTGTTTTGAGTTAGAATCCTGTCCCACAAGTGATGACTGGTCTTCTACCCACTTCTGGCTGGGAGTCCTCAGCCAGACCACTCGTGGTAACACGTGGGTGGAGAGGGCCCAGGGCCCAGGGGCACAGTGCCCTCTCAAGGAATGACCACAGGGTCTCTAGGGATCAGGGGAGGACACCAAAATTTCTGGGAGAAGTTGAAACTGCATCGCTGTCTTGCTCTTGGAGGGCGCACAGACCCCCAAGTCCCACCCCAGATCCACGAAGCCCCCACCCCTGCCCCTGCTGGAGGGAAAGGGGGGCTGAGGGAAGGAAGTAAAATGCCCTGTTACACACGCTGTGTTTGTTCTGGGCCTGGTTATTGACGCAAGAGGCCTTATCATTGGGTCCTCAGACTAGGCTGGGCAGGGCAGATCTGAGAGTTAGGGAGATTTGTGCCCACTGGCCTGTGGGAAAGCAGAAAGGAGAGGGGGCAAGGAAGGCCACGGCAGAGCAAGGAAGAAGCTGCTGGTTGGGCTCACGATGAAAACACTCATTCTTTTGCTGCTGGTGCTCCTGGACTTGGGGCTGGCTCAACATCAGCTCCACAGGTGAGGCCACGTCCCCAGCACTGCGTCCGGTGGGGGCAGCTGCCTGCCCTCAGGCTTAGCGCTGCCCTGGGAGAGGAAAGCTGATGGGGAAATGAAGAGGAGAAGAAACTGAGGGCTGGGAAAAGTGGCCATCTTGTGTTGGCCTTGACCCGCAACCCACGACAAGCCATCCCTCTGCCCCACCTCTGATGGAACTGCCTGCCTAAGTCCCAGGGAGCTTCTCACATTATTAAAGAGCAGGAACCTGCAGCTTTGGTTGGGAGCTCAAAGGACCGAGTACTTGCCCAAGGGACTGACCATGGCTGCCTCCAAGAGTCTTTCTGTCCCTTTAAATCAGCCCCTTATGAGGTTCATGCACAACTGCAGATGGTTTTCCTAGAGGACCTCAAAGAGCTCATCTCTGAGAGGGAGGGCCACTTCAAGTCAAAGATTTTGAGATTCTTCAGGAGCAGAGACAAGACCGACAGGCCAGGGGCAGAGAGGGCACTAATTCTCGCCAGACTGTGGCCCATTCTGGCAACTCTGCTGCCTTGCAGATCTTCTCCTGTGTAATCTCCCGGTTTACCTCTGGAAAAATGGGGTGGGGAGAGGGGAGGGTCTGAGAGAGGCAGAACTGCATCTCTGTCTCACACGGGGCCTTGTCCTCAGGGTGCCCCTCAGGAGGCATCAGTCCCTCCGGAAGAAGCTGCGGGCACGGGGCCAGCTCTCTGAGTTCTGGAAATCCCAGAATTTGGATATGATCCAGTTCACTGAGTCCTGCACGATGAACCAGGATGCCAACGAGCCCCTCATCAACTACTTGGATGTGAGGCATTCTGGGGCAGGGGCTGGGGAAGGGGGTGAGGGGAGGAGCATGGCCAGTGTCAGCTGGCCAGCTCAGCAACACTGAAGTAAAGGCCAGTGTGGATTTCTCCTCTAGGATAACCCATAAGGACTGATCCCCTGGGTCCCCATGGATTTGACCGAGCAAGCCCCAGTGTGCCCAAATGTGTAGAGCTCTCTGCAAAAGAAATGGCATCCCAAACAGAAGGGCCCTGCTGTGTGTCCTTGGCCAAATGATTTAACCTTCACCAGCTTCCCTTCCCTGATTGTAGAACAAAAGAATTACTGCCTCTTCTGCCTTGCTCACAAAGGGATTATGAGGAGTAACGCAAATGAGAGCTAAAGAAGTAGTAGAGGGTGGGAGACTTGATTTGATTTCCTCCCTTGTAGCCCTTTGTCTGCTCGTTCTGCCTTCTGTTGCCACTCCCCAGGCTCCGTAAGGTCCAGTCTGTGCTAGCCAGGGTCTGGTCCCAGAGAACTCTCCCTAGGCCCCCCGGTGAGCACCTTCCCCTTTCCTACCACCCTCGCTCGGCTCCCTTCCCTCCCTCCCCTATAGATGGAATACTTCGGCACCATCTCCATCGGCTCCCCGCCGCAGAATTTCACCGTCATCTTTGACACTGGCTCTTCCAACCTCTGGGTCCCCTCCGTGTACTGCACCAGCCCAGCCTGCAGTAAGTAGGGCCAGGATCCCCAGCAGGGAATGGCAGCTCCAGAAACTGGCCATGCATGCCACACCAGCTTCCCCTCTCCACCTCTGAGTCTGCCCTGGGACTACCTACGGTGGAAACAGGGCTGGGCCAGGGAGGAAGCTAAAATTTGATTGCTATCCAAGCTAGCAACTTTCATACTGACCAGAATTAATAGGAGAAAACTCAGCCACCGAAAATACAAACTCAATACAAATCTTTGAATACTGCATGACTCACTCCCTTTGGAACACCCAAAAGAATGGGGAACGTTCCATTCAAATGTCTGTTTCTGGGCAGGTAGGTGGGTTGGGTTCTAGTGCTGACTATTCACCCGCTTCAAGAGGGCTTGGTGGCCTATCCCAGGATATCAGAGGTGGGGCTGGTGGGGCACGATACAGGGGTGGGTCAGTTTGGCCAGAGGTAACTCAGGTGTCTTTGTTAGCATTAGAAAGGAAAGAGCTAAAGAAAGATGTCTGAGTCTATGCTGGATAAGTTCTAGAGACAGGATGTCTCAGAAAACCCCTAGATTAGGTGTCTACAGGTTGGGCAAGGAATTGAGAGTCATTGCCTGGAGCGGCATTTGTTTATCCCTGGGATTCTTTTGAATGCCAGGCTCTGACCCCCACTAGTTGACAGAGACTTCTGCTGGCGCCTGATACATGACGCTTATCTCCGTGTGCCTCATGAGGTCACTGTGTGCCACCATGTTTGCCCAGGGATGACTAGTTGGTCCCCAGTTAAGCCACCACATGTGGCTAGAGAAGAATGTGGTACCTCACTAAGGTGGGCCATGGCCAACCTTTCTCGAGGCCCCCTCTCAATCTTGGGAGTTGAGGGAAGAGATCCTGCATCTGTGGGGTCTCAGGGCAGGAAGGAAGGCAGCGAGCTGGTGGCCCAGGCAACAGCGGCATTTTTGCTTTTCCAGAGACACACGCCAGGTTCTACCCTTCCCAGTCCAGCACATACAGTGTGCTGGGGAGTCATTTCTCCATTCAGTATGGGACTGGGAGCTTGTCTGGAATCATCGGAGCTGACCAAGTCTATGTGAGTACAATTCCTTCATCTCTTCTCTTTGGGCCAGAAACTTGGGATACAGAATATTGTTCAGAGCCTTTAGGGGAACACTTTCAGATCTGCCTCAGGAAGAGGTGGAAACAAGGAGCTGGCTTCCAGGGAAAGGGGGAAGCCTGGCCAGGCAGGAGTAGCACTCCCTGCTTGAACTAACGGCAGTGGGCCAGTCTGCTCAGGGTGCTGGGTTCTAGAATGGCAGCACGGAGGAATACCACAGAGGAACAGTGCACAGAGCAGAAAGCCTGGGGGGCAGCCTTTCGAGAATGAGTTAAGGCAAAAAAAAAAAAAGAGTCAAAGGTGCTCTCAGCGCAATAAGGCAAGAAAAAAGAAACTAAGGGCATTAAGATTGTAAAGGAAGAAACTATGTTGTATTATTCACATATGACAAGATTCTATATGTAAAAAATCCAAAAATATCTACAGACCATTGGGATTAATAATTATTAACAAAGTTGCTGAATACTAGATAAACAAACTCGTTTGTATTTCTGAATATCAGGAAAAACAAATGGAAAATAGATTTTTTAATGACATTACTTATAATAACATCAGAAACATCAAATACCTACAAATAAATTTAACAAAAAATGTGCAATATCTCCACTCCAAAACCTGGAAAACGTATTGAGTGAAATTAAGGAAGATCTACATAAATAGAAATGACTCAGTATTTCATGACTCAGTATTATGGACAAGTCGAAGTTTTTTCAAATTGATCTATAGATCTTAATGTCACCTCAATCAAAACAACAGAAATTGATGAGCTAATTCTAAAATGTATATGGTTATGTAATACACCAAGACAATCTAGATAAAGAAAAACACTACGAATATCAAGACCTATTATAAAGCTATAGTAATTGAGACAGTGTGGTATTGCCACAAGATAAGCAAATAGACAAATGGAACAAAATGGAAAACTCAGGGGCGCCTGGGTGGCTCAGTTGGTTAAGCGACTGCCTTTGGCTCAGGTCATGATCCTGGAGTCCCTGGATCGAGTCCCGCATCAGGCTCCCTGCTCAGCGGGGAGTCTGCTTCTCCCTCTGACCCTCCCCCCTCTCATGTGCTCTCTCTCTCAGTCTCTCTCTCTCAAATAAATAAATAAAATCTTTAAAAAAAAAATGGAAAACTCAGAAACTACTCTGAATTCTGTTGACCATGAGACTGGCAGTGGAGGAAATGAGAGTGTGTTTATTAAATATGGTGCCAGGTCATTTGGATATCCATAAAGTTAAAAAAAAAAAATCTGGACTCCGACCTCACACATTATCAAACTTCCAATACATTGTAGATGTTTTACCTCTAGGCATATGTCCAACAGAAGTATGAGTGCATGTTCATCAAAAGTCATGGCCAAGCAGCACTGTTAGCGATAGTCACCACAGGAAACAACCCAAATACCCATCGATGGTAGAATGGATAATGACGGTTATTCATACCATAGGATACTGATGACATTGAACGAAATTTCAACATAGTACACTACATGATGTTGAGTGACAGAAGCCAGATAGGAAAGAATTCATCCTGTATGATTCTGTTTATGTAAAATTCAAGAAAAGGCAAAAGCAGTAGATGTTGGAAGCCAGTAGATGGGTGTTATTGAGGAAAGGTACGACGATTAGCAGGGTGCATGAAGCGGCTTCCGGTTTGGGAGCTTGCTGACCAGGATGAGTTTGTGAAAACGCACCGAACTGTACACTTAGGATTTCTGTATTCAACTTCAATTTTTTTTGAAGTCTACATAAAAAAAATTAAGGGTGTGGGAATGTGGTGAAATCACTGTGCTCATTTAATCAAGTTGGGTGGGGGAAGAATTCACTTCAGACCAGAGGGAGAATCCGGGAATCTGAGACTGTACCAAAGCTCTCCCAAGCAGTTTTATTTCGGGCTTTCTCCCGTCAGGTGGAAGGACTGGTTGTGGCCGGCCAGCAATTTGGAGAGAGTGTCACGGAGCCGGGCCAGACCTTTGTGAACGCAGAGTTTGATGGAATTCTGGGCCTGGGATACCCCTCCTTGGCTGTGGGAGGGGTGACCCCAGTGTTCGACAACATGATGGCGCAGAACCTGGTGGATATACCCATGTTCTCTGTGTACATGAGCAGGTAGGCCTGGCAAGCCCACCAAGGTGAAGGTCAGTTACAACCACAGGGAGACAACATGGGTGCAGCTCAAAGAGCGCTAGACTTAGCAGTCAAACACCTGGCTTGGATCTCTTGCTTGACCTATTACCAGCTGTGTGACCTTGGGCTTACCCTCTCTGGATATTGAGGAAATGGGGTTTGTCTCACTTTGTAAACTATACCGCACTGAACCAATAGGAGGAATCTCTGGGGTTGGATATTCATTTGTGCAGTGAATAAATGTTTATCAAGCTCCTATTGTGTGCCGACCACAGTGCTGGGCACGGGGAGCATAGTGAGACGAGGAAGACAGTCCCTGCCCTCAGGAAGCTTGATTCCTGTGGGAGGAGGCAGGAAAAAATTCCAAAGGAAGCTGACGATAAAATAATGGGATGTTAAGGGCATAATAAGATGCAGAATTTACATAAAATAGAATATTATTCAGCCTGAAAAAGGAAGGAGATTCCAACACAGGCTACCAGAGAATGAACCGTGAGGACCTTATTTCAAGGGAAACAAGCCAGTCACAAAAGGACAAATTGTGCATGAGTTCCCTTACACGAAGGTGCCTGGAGCAGTCAGATTCACAGGGACAGAAGGTAGAATGGTGGTTGCCAGGTGTGGGGGGAGGGGAAGGAAGCTGTTGTTTAATGAGTATAGACTTGTGGTTTCACAGGATGAAAAGGTTCTGGAGACTGGCTGCACCACAGCATGAATAGCCTTCACACTACTGAACTGTACATTTAAAAATGGCCAATTTATGCAATTTTTTAAAAAATTGCCTCCTGTAGTTGCAAAAGGTCATGTGGCTCACCGACCTCTGGCCACTCTTGCCTGGGATCCTGAAAGGGTCATCTCACCTTCATCCCTACATAGGACAGAGATTTCTGACCTTTCTAACTCCTCCCCGGTATATCTGGCCTCAGCTTACCCTGTTTTCACGCAAGCCCATTTCCCTTGTTTTCCACTTCCACGTGGAGAGCCTTGAGTTTCCTTTATTAAACTGCATGGCTGTAGTTGGGACCAACTACGGGGCAGAACTGTGAGCAAGATGGCAGGTTGCTCAGACCCCTCTGCTGCCCCCCTGCTCCCTTCCAACCCAGAAAGACAGAGGGGAAGATGGGAAAGAGCAAAGGCTTTGCCGTCTGGCTGACGTGGACTGATGCCCCGAGGCTCAGTTTCTTCAAATGGGCACAAGATTGATGTAAGAAATAAATAGGATTAAGCAGGTAAAATTCTTCGCCCAGGGCCCTGCACAAAGGCCGTCAACTAATGGCGGTTCTTCCCCCCACCTCCCTAAGTCTGCTTTCCTAAGATGCCCACAATACCCGGTTCCTTTCCCCTTTACCACCAGGCCTCGCAGCGCCCTGAGTTTTGTATTTTTCTGATTGTTTTCCTCCTAAAAATGAATGTTTCATGTCCTATTTCCCCAGAATCCTGTTAGGTGCCAGATCACACTCTGAAAAATCAACACCAATGAAAATTAATAAATTTTCAAGTTCTCATAAGTCATGTTGCATTCCCATTAGCTTCCTCGCCTTAACACGATGGAGTGAATCATATAGAAACTCCAGGCACCACCAAAACAATAGTGGGAAAGATACTTGGTGGAAAAGGCTTTTTGGGGATGCATAAGTCACACGGTGTGTGCATACCCCAATGGTCCTAGCCTTGGTTCTTCATGAGTTCTGCATGACCAGAGTAGTTGTCCCCATCTACCTCCTCCCTAGCCCTTTTATCCAAGAAGCAAGAAGACATTCACAAGTCATCAAGCAGAGCTATTTCTATACTTCTATCCTTCTGCCCCAAAAAGGCCAGATTAATCAACTTGCAGTAGTTGGGAGCCCTGGTCTCAAAGCCCAGGCTGATATTTCTGCCTGTCTGGTTACTTGGTGTACATGACCAGCTTGTTCCTAGGGTATCCCAGTGGCCCTTCCCTGACAATCTGTCTTTTTCTTTCCCTGCAGTGACCCAGAAGGCGGTGCAGGGAGCGAACTCATTTTCGGCGGCTATGACCACTCCCATTTCTCCGGGAATCTGAACTGGGTCCCTGTCACCAAGCAAGGCTACTGGCAGATTGCCCTGGATGCGTGAGTATTCTCCACAAAGTAGCTATGATACAGACAAGAACTCAAGACGGACACAAGGCCAGTTGAATTGAAAAAGAATTTCATTTAATTGACCTGAATCAGTGTGCTGGTCCCTGGGAGAGGAGCCTGAGGGCTCGTCGTGTGAAGCTGGAAGTGTGGAGGTGCTGAGCAAAGGTACAGGAAGGGGCCGCGGTTGCCAGGGCAACAGGCACGAGGTACCACATCTCAGCTTCCCTCCTGGTACGCATGCTGCGCCCTCAAGTCAACAGACAATAAATAAAAATCCTCCGCCAATTACTTGGGGCTCATTTAACGTCAATTCACACATAGGGCCAGGGGTGGGTGACATGGGGGTACAGGAGTGAACTGGACTCAGGTTTTGCCTCCACGAAGCATGTCCAGAAGATGAGACACATACACACCACTATCATTGTAAGGTGGAGGTGGTCAGTGTTCCACAAGACGTGCCAAAGGAGTGGCCTGGCAGACAGGGCAAGACAGCTTCTACCTGAAGAACTCCTCAAGCAAGGGTTTCATGAAGGAGGTGACATGGACTGGGCCTTGACATCCATACGCGCAGACGTGTGGCGGGGCGGGCATGGAGCAATCAGGGACGTGGGACCAGATGCCTGTCACATACTGAGCACTGTGTCAGATAATGCAGGAATTTAAAGAAATGCAATTCAGGTTTCAGTTCCGCCAAGAATAAGCTTCTGCAAGGTGAGGGCATGTGCTAGTCACTGGGGATGTAACAGCGAAAAGCCTCAGTGCTCACTGTCTACTGAGGGTTTTTCAAGCCAGAGGGACTTACTCATTTATGGGTCATGATCTCATTTTAGGGGATCATGACGTGCATTTTTAATGAAATGGAATAAAATAGAAAATATCAGAGTACACTTCACATACTAAGGTTGAGCCCTGTTTCGTGACATTTTTATTTCATGTGTGTGTGTGTGTGTGTGTGTGTGTGTGTGTGTACTGGGTCCAAAAGTAAATGTGTTTTCTGGTATGGATCTCAGTCACAGAAAAACTGAGAAATACTGATGTGTGAGACAGTCAAACTGGAAATCATTTGTATTTGAAAGCCCAGCAGGGGGTGAGAGCTGCTGGGGAGGCTGGGAAACTTCAGGGCTGAGGGGAAGGGGGACAGCTGGGGTGGGGGTGGGGGCAGGGGTTGGCTGATGACATTTTCTTTGTCCTCAGAATCCAGGTGGGAGGCGCGGTGATGTTCTGCTCCGAGGGCTGCCAGGCCATTGTGGACACAGGGACTTCCCTCATCACAGGCCCCTCAGACAAAATCAAGCAGCTGCAGAAGGCCATTGGGGCCGAACCCATGGATGGAGAAGTCAGTGCCGCCTGGGGTAGGGAGGAGGCGGGAGCAGGGGAGCGGGGAGGCCTCTAAATGGGTCCTCTGTGTTGTTTTAGTATGAGGTGGAGTGTGCCAACCTCAACGTCATGCCGGATGTCACCTTCACCATCAATGGCGTCTCCTACACCCTCCAACCAACTGCCTATACCCTGCTGGTAAGAACTGTTTCCTTATTCTTCAAGTCATAGGGCCTTCCCCACGAGCCCACCACTTCCTCTTTTCGGTCACCTATACCCAGACTGCATCTACCCCGAGCCCCGCTCCCATCTTCTCCTGCACTGAAGGGGCGTTCCCTCTAGAAAGGACAAAGTTGCCTATGGGGGAAAGACCACCAGGCTGGTTCTCTCTCCATTCCCATCCAGCCATGAAGCAGCAGCAAACCTTGGACAAGCCATCTAGTGAAGTTTTCCGACATTGTCATGTAGGACTTTTCAACTGACCAAGTTTAATCCCTCAAACACCCAGTAAGATTGGATATTATTATCCCATTCTGTGGATGAGGATATTGAGACTTGGAAAGTTAAGAGGCTCAAGATATGAGCTACTTGGGGAGGAGGTACGGAATGAGGTTGTATCTTCTCACGTTCAGATTAACGTTCTCCTCAAACCAGAAAGGGTCTTTTATTGCAGTAGATTCCTAAGTTTGTAGGATGAGGTAGAAAGGGAGTCCCTGGGGGGAAATCTATGATCGATTCACACCACAGTTGACCCAGATTTTCAATATCACATGCCGTTCTTTGGTGACACTCAACACACTAACTTTACCGGAGAGTCACCCACAGCACCAGGGTGATTGCGTCAGAATGGAGGTGCTGAGGTGTGGAGCACTTTAGGGACTTACCTACCCCTCCACACACACCTTGATCTCCATTAACGCTTTCCCCAAGCCACCAAGCATAAACAGACAATGCAAGTGAAAACAAATGTTCTTTTAAAGTTTTTATTTAAATTCCAGTTAGTTAACATACAGAGCAATATTAGTTTCAGGTGTGCAATATAGTGATTCGACACTTCCATACAATGCCCCGTGCTCATCACAAGTGCCCTCCTTAATCCCCATCACCTGTTTCACCCATCCGCCCACCCACCTCCCCTCTGGTAACCAGCAGTTTGTGCTCCATAGTTAAGAGTCTGTTTCTTGGTTTGTTTCTCTCTCTTTTCCCCTTTGCTCATTTGTTTTCTTTCTTAAATTCCACATATGAATGAGATCATATGGTATTTATCTTTCTCTGACTGATTTATTTCGCTTAGCATTATACTCTCTAGCTCCACCCACAACATTGCAAATGGCAAGACTTCATTCTTTTTATGACTAACATTCATATATATATATATCCCACATTTTCTTTATCCATTCATCAGTCTGTGGACATGGGCTATTTCCATAATTTGGCTATTGGCTATTGTGGATAATGCTGCTATAAACATCAGGGTGCATGTATCCCTTTGAATTAGTATTTTTGTATTCTTTGGATAAATACTTAGAAGTGCAATTGCATAAAATCCTAGAAGGTAACACAGATAGTAGCCTCTTTAACACTGGCCATAGCAACTTCTTTCTAGATATGTCTCCTGAGGCAAGGGAAACAAAAACAAAAATAAACTATTAGGAACTCATCGAATAAAAAGCTTCTGCATGGTGACGGAAACAATCAACAAAACTAAAAGGCAGTCTGCAGAATGGGGGAAAATATTTGCAAATGACATACTCCAGTAAAGGGTTAGTATCCAAAATATAAAAAGAACTTACAAAACTCAACACCCAAAAAACAAATAATCCAATTAAAAATGGGCAGAAAGCACAAATAGACATTTTTCCAAAGAAGACATCCAGTTGGCCAACAGACACATGAAAAGATGTTCAACATCATGGATCATCAAGGAAATACAAATCAAAACTACAATGAGATACCACCTCACACATGTCAGAATGGCTAAAATCAACAAGGCAAGAAACAACAGGTATTGGAGAGGATGTGGAGAAAGGGGAACCCTCTTACACTGTTGGTGGGAATGCAATGTGGTGCAGCCACTCTGGAAAATGGTATGGAGGGTCCTCAAATAGGACTACCCTATGGTCCAGCAATTGCACTACTAAGAAAACAAATGTTTCACTTTAAAACACAGCTTCATGTCAAGCCCCCTAAGCTTCCCCAACAAAGGGATTCTGGAGCTGCCACTATGAACACCAAACTGGGGACAAGCTAGACATTTTAACTGTGCCAAGCTCATCAGCCTATATACCCTTTGGCACTCCGGTACCCTCATACTCTCCCACCTGCACCCTATGTGAGTCCCTGCTCACCCCACTTCCTTCCCTATGCCCAGCGTGGTGCCCTTGTCCTTTTCTGCCAGGAGATTTCAATCAGAGCCACCTCAGTCTGCCAAGAATGCTGCAACAGAAGTGCATGGTTATCCCCTTCCTCTCAAGAAGGTGCTTTAAGCTCTCTGCAAACTTCCCAGACCCTCATCAGCAACCTCAAATCTCAAATGGTTGTTGGAAAGCCCACACCCGCCTGGTAGACCCCAAGTCTTTGCCAAACTAGAAAGTAAGGTTGGGGGACGTTCCACTCTCCTCACAGGACAATGGATGCCTACTTGCCTTACACCTAAAAAAGGATTCTTCCCCAGAACATCAAGAAAACAGCAATGTGATTTCTCTCCCTTAAAAAATTAAGTTGAGCTTCGCTAGAAACTGAAGAAACCAGAACTTAAGCCAAGATCTTCTAAAGCCAAACCTTTTGCTCTTCCGATCATGGAACAAGGTTTCACTTTTCCCAGTTATAAAATGGGAGGCAGGGAGCATGTATGACAGATGAACAGTTCTCAAAATTGTAGAACTTAGAAGCCCAGGTCCACATATACAAAATGGTGTGAACGCAAGTGGAGGTGTATGAAGCGGAAGGAAGAACCAACCAGCCAACATCATGACCGACCAAGGCCGTTCGGTATAGTCACAATCACTACCACACAGTACAGCCTCCAGGCAGCCCTACTTCCCTTTCTCCCTCTATGTCACTTACACCTTCTTTCCCACCCCAGGACTTTGTGGATGGAATGGAGTTCTGCAGCAGTGGCTTTCAAGGGCTTGACATCCAGCCTCCCGCTGGGCCCCTCTGGATCCTGGGTGATGTCTTCATTAGGCAGTTTTACTCAGTCTTCGATCGTGGGAATAACCGTGTTGGGCTGGCCCCGGCAGTCCCCTAAGTCGCGGCCTTGTGTTTGAGCCTGGCTGCATGACACCCCTTAGAAATCCAGCTGTGCCCGTTCGGTTGGGGCATTCTTCACAATGGTCAAAAAGTCATTTTCAGGAGGATACAGTTGTTCTAGAGCTGCAACTTGAATTGGGTCCAAATAGAGCATGAGAACACACACACACACACTGATACACTTCACACACACCTCACACACACCGCATACACACCACTTCCACCGCCATCATGACGGAAGAATTAAGTTGTATGCCCATACTTTTTATTGCTTGTTGCTAACATTTTCTTTCGGAAATCTCCAGACATGTACACAAGGAGAGATTATAGCACAATAAATCCCCATGCAACACCCTCCCTCCCACCTTTCATAACTCACATGCACGTGGCCAGGCCTGTTTTATCTGCACCCACCCCCCCTCCGCTACCCAGCCCACCTACCTGCATTATCCCGAAGCAAATTCTTAGCATCGCATCATAAATCATCACATCCAAGATTTATCCATAAATCCTTGTAATATTCTTAAATAGGCAATCAGTGTTCAAATGTTCCCTATTGTCTGGGAAATGTTGGGTCATTTTTACCAGTGACTTGTGTGCATTAGTATGCAAATAAAGTCTTCAAATTGCATTTATTTGAACTGTCTCTATGTCTCTTTCCATGTGTAGAGTTGACCGCATTCTGAATTTTGCAGGTTGAAATCCAGAGGTATCATGCAACTTGGTTCTGAGTCCATCTTTCCTACAAAATGGCAGTTGGCTCTAGGGCCTGGTTTTGTGGCAAGAATATTTCATCCGTAGTGCTGGGTACATCCCATAGTAGCCCATCAGGAGGTAGATCATGCCTGGAGCCTCTTTATTTACAAGGTTAGAACTGACGAGTACGTTCGGGAGCTGTTAGGCTCATCCATCCATCCATGACCAGTTTCCTTCAGCATTTTACCCAAAGGTTTCTGCAACCACTAATTATCATTGCTTAGATCCATGCTATCATTAGGGCTGCAAAATAGAGATTTTTTTCTAATTCTGTTTTTTCCTCCTGTGTTTGTTAGCCAGAGTTCTTCTATTCAAAAAAACAAACAAACAAAAACAGAAACAACAACAACAAAAAAATGTTCATCAACAATTTGCTTACTATTAGGTATAGTTCATACAGGAAAGGCAAGCTTACTTGGCTTTTTCCCTTTATTTACCAGCTTTCAGAAAAATGAGTGTGATTCAATTTATTGCAGTTTTTTCAATATTCAAAGCACCCCACACTTAGCCAGCAGGTGCCCCTTCAGGTTAGTTTCTGGGAACTTCTGACTTGACCCCAACACAAAAAGATGTTCCAACCCCATTCCCAAGGAGTTCTGGTTCCTGGCTGTGGGCTCATAATTTTGTTGTAAATGAAAATATTTCAGAATGTCCAAGGAGAGGGAAGGGGGGAAGGGGTTCTGAACGAACCCTTTTCTCCTATGGGGCTCCAGGGCCCATCCTGAGGGAGCTGACATGGTGAATCCGGGTCCGAGTTGATCCCCATTCTGGTGGGATCTATTGCCACCAGAAACAACAGATCTTTCTTTTCCTTCCTTTTGTTCTTGCGCTTTGCAAAATGCAAGTATCTTCAGGGTTTTTCTTATTATAAAATATGTGAAAGTCCTCCATGATCCTTACCCTCAAAGATAAGCATTATTATTACTTTGAAGTTGTTTAACACACATTGACTTTTCCTTTGTATATACGAACAGTGATAGCCATAGGTAAGGAATTTTTTTTCCTACAAAAAAAGGAATCATAGGGGTGCCTGGGTGGCTCAGTAGGTTGAGCGTCTGCCTTTAGCTCAGGTTGTGATCCCAGGATCCTGGCATCGAGTCCCGCATTGGGCTCCCTGCTCAGCGGGGAGTCTGCTTCTCCTTCTCCCTCTGCCCCTCCCCCTGCTCATGCTCTCGTTTGCACTCTCTCTCTCTCTCAAATGAATAAATAAAAAAATCTCTTCAAAAAAGAAAAGGGATCATACTACATATACTTGTCTCTAAACCGCTCATGTAACAGATTCCACATCAGCACAGTCAGCTCTTTCCTTGTAACATCTGCATGGTGTCCATTTATTCATCAAATCCTCTTTTAATGAACATTAGATTCATTTTGGTTTAATTCAACCCAATCCCATACATATTTCTTTTGTGCCAGGCACTAAGGGAGTTACTCTAAGACCGTCAAGATCAGTAGGACAGATCCCAACTGTCACTTTTGGCACAGAGGTCATGGAAAACACATCAGGCTTGCAGTCAGATAACCCGGATTCACATTTGTGCCCTGCCCCAATCAATTTGGTGACCTTGGCTAGTTAGTTCATGTCTCTGAGATGCCCACCTCCCAGAGCTATGGGGGAGAGTCAATGAGTTTACCTGGATGGAAGCACTTAGCTTATAATGTTAGCTCCCCTCCCCCTTTAAGTATAAGGTCAAGGTAGATCCCGGCTTCACACATACACACATGCTTTTCTGGTTTTTCTTGCTTGCTTGCTTGCTTGCTTTCTTGCTTTCTTTCCTTCTTTCTTTTACTAAATTATTATATCCAGAGTTAATTCAGAACAGCCTGATCCAAATAAACCATCAAAGCAATATAATAGAGCAGTTAACATCACAGGCTCCGGAGTCACACAGGCCTGGGCTTGATTCTTGGTTGGACTTGACCAGTTGTGGGAACTCTGCGCCTGTTTCTTCATCTGTAAAATGGACATGATAACAGTAACTATCTCATAGGTTTATTGTGAGGATCCAATAGCTACAATGCATATGCAAAAACACTTAACTGGTTTGTGTGCCCCTGCCCATCACACAGGGACCAGACCCACACTCAGCCTGGACAAATCTCACACAGGGCGGAAGGGCCTAGAGTAAAAAAGCTTTATGATTTCTCCTCTAAAACAAAGCACCCAACAGCCATGTGGGAACAAACTGGCAGATAGCATCCCTACGGCTTTCCCCTTCAAGGTGATCTCTGCACAGTGGGCTACCCTGATGCATTGCATGTGCATCCAGGTCCCTGTGGGGCCAGGAGCCTGAGTGCTGGAGGCCTGGGCGTTGAGGGTGATGCTTAATCCGTGCACGCAGGAAGTGAGAGCAGTTGGGGGGCTGCCCAGAGCCAGTTCTGCTCTAAGCACGCTGGTCTCTTGAGGCAGAAGTGACGCTTTCAGTCCGTGTGGACTAAACTCTGCTGGCTCTGCACCTACTTAGCCTTATTAGTTGCTGTGAGTTTTCCAAAACTGACCTTTGCTCTTTGTGACCTTCACATCAGTGATGTTAGCCCTGAAACTCAGGTCTTTGTCCCATGTCCCATGTCTCATCCTAGGTCACAAACCTCTCAGTGATGGGCCAAGAGCTGTGGCCAAGCTTCGCTGCACTCTTGGAATTTGTTAAAGGATGTATATTCAATTCCCTGGGGGTGCCATGAGCAAGCACCACAAACTGGGTGGCTTAAAGCTACAGAAATGGACTGTCTCACAGTTCTGGAAGCTAGAAGTCCAAGATCGAGGGGTCAACAGGGACATTATCTCTCTGAAACCCGTAAGGGAGAATCTTGCTTACCTCTTCCAAGCTTCGGGTGATGGCTGGCAGTCCTTCACATTCCTCGTGTTATAGCAGCGACACTTCAGTCTCTGCCCCGTCGTCCCCTGCGCGTCTGTCTCTGTGTCTCTTCTCTTCTCTGTGTATTGGCTGAGGGCCTCCCTACTCCAGGACGAGCTCATCTCGACTTAACTAATTGCATCTTCCAAGACCCTCTTTCCAAATAAGGTCATTCTGTGGGACTGGGGGTTAAGGCTTCAGCATATATGTGGGGGAAACACAATTCAACCAGTAACAGAGGCGTCACTAACCAACCGCTCTTTATTTGATTTTCGGCTCATTAAAGTCCTTTCAGGAGATTTTGGTATTTTGTCTTTCTTCCCTTTCTTCTCTTTGTTTTCCCCCTCACACACACACAAAAATCTGTAGATTAGACAGAGCAAGTTTTGTTACCCTGTTTTCTAAATGAGGAAATCGGAGTGATGAAATAATGAAATGATTTGTCAAAAGTAGAGTGAAAGTAGAATCCACGTCTCCTGACCCCTCACCCCTGCTTCTAATTTTTTTAAAAGATTTTATTTATTTATTTGCCAGAGAGAGAGCACAGGCAGGGGGAGTGGCAGGCAGAGGGAGAGGCAGACTCCCCACAGAGCAAGGAGCCCGATGCGGGGCTCGATCCCAGGACCCTGGGATCATGACCTGAGCCGAAGGCAGATGCTTCACCCACTGAGCCACAGGCGTCCCCCCTGCTTCTAATTTACACCCCTTCCCCCAAGCCCAGGTATCTGTCAGTTCAGGATATCACCAGGGCAAGGATGGCAGGTAGATTTTGGTCAGTCCCCCCAATAATATTTACCTTTTAAAATAAAAACGGGTTTGCTGCTGACAAGTCAATGGTTGCTGATCCCAAGAGGCTCTAGACAGCTTCCTTCTGTCTGCTCCTCTATGGAAATAAGACCCTGCTAGGAGGATTCCTGGGAACCTGCTATGTCTGGCCTGGGCATCACCTCCTTTGAGGAGTCATCCCTCTCCCAGTCTATGTGAGCCTGGTGGGCTGGCAGTCCTCTCATCAGCACCCACATTACAGGGGACCACACAGGCTTCAGTCACACCCAGACTCTCTCTCTCTCCTGGGAAGCTGAATGTTGAGTGGGCCTCACAGGGAGGACGGGTGTTGGGGGCCTGGCAGGCACACCGAGAGATAGCTCCCGAGTCCCCAGTGCTGAGACCGCCCCGGCAACCCTGCCTCTGTCCTTCCCAAGATCCAGTTGTCCATCTCTTCCTGCTGCTTCTGTTCTCAGCTGAGGAGCTCTGGCCCGTGCAGCCCGCTGTCAGAGGGCGACCAGATGACTGTCCTGCCGTGAGCATCAGAGGTCTCGGGCCTGTGAAGCCTGATCCCTTCTCTAAATGAAGCTCCAGGTCAGGGCTCAGCCACCTGGCTGGTGAGCTCATCCAGAAGAACTTGTGCCCGTGAGGAGAGTAAGGGGAGAGGAGACATGTGAGACCACAAACCGAGGGTGTGTGAAAGACACGCAAGGCCAGGCCTCAGGACCAGAATGTGCTTCTATTCCTCAGCCTCAACATCTGCCTCTTGCTTTTTCAACACCTGCCAGGTTATGATGTAACACCAACTTCTGTAACAGACAAAGCCCTGAATCGCAGTGTCTCGACACAATAAAAGTTTCTTTCTCACATGAAGCATCCAGGTAAAGAGTCACACAATTCAGGAACGAGGATCCCTTCTGTCTTGCGGTTCCCACAGCCCCTAGGACCTCAGAGTTATTCTTTGTATCCCATAGACAGGGAGAGTGGCCGATCCTGCAACGCGTATTAACATACCAGATCTGAAGGAGGCTAAGGGACCAGCAGGACATTT